CAACAAGATTTAATTAAATCCATAAAGCAGGCTTCAAATAAAACCAAAAAACACCTATTAACTCGCAAAGATTATACGAACGTTTTTTTTTTCAGCTTTAATCAAAACAAAAAAATCTGCAAAAAAGTCAAGCAAATTTTTGACTTCAAGATTTATTTAAATCCAAAAAACTCAGATTAAAAGCAGATTAAAAAGTTGCAGGGATGATTATTATCATTCGGAGGACGAGGATAGTGGTGATGATGAGCGAGAGGAGGAAGAAGATATTTATTCATCAATTCATGTGAAATTTTTCACATGCGCTAATGAGCCAGTTGTCTTGCATCAGAATGTGAAATTAACAAGGGGAGTTGGTCATTATTATTTGGCAAGGGAATTGAACGATTCCTCATTGGAAAAATTGGTTGAAATTTCGCAGAAAAGAATATTTGATAGCTCTTTTGACAATTTATTGTTTACAATTAGGGGAAATTTTCAAATGGAGGTATTCTTTAGAATAATGTTAGGAATTGCAGGCGTTAAGAAGATAGATCGTTATTTGGATTGCATTCTGAGTTCTTATGAGTATGCTAAAAATCCACCACCCCCTCCTCTTCCACCACCTCCACCTCCACCCCCTCCAGTCAATCAACAACCAGGTAAAAAGAAGAAAAAGAATAATAATCAAAATCAGCAACAGCAGCTTCGTGCACCTGTTAGTTATTTTGGAAATGAGAAATTTCGTGAGGAAAGGGATGGTGTGGATTATCGTTGGTGTCCATTAACGCATCAAATTGATTCCTTAATTGATTTAATGAAATTTGGAGATGATTCTCAACACACTGAAAATATGGCCAAATATGTAATGGATTTAACTTATAGATCGGTGGCCTCTTTCTCTGTTTCCTCTGAAATTGCAACCAAATTCTGTTTACCACATATTGCAAATCAATTCATTTCAGGAAAATGTTATGATAATGATGGAGAACAAACCTATATAGTAACCTTGAGAAAGTCAAATGGTGGAACGTTTAAACTTGTACATTTTAGACCTGAAAAAGATAGTGATTCAACAAACCCCTACGAATTCTTCAAGATTCATATTTTAGATCCAGCAGAAAATATATTTGAGAAAGAATGCTTTGGCTCTGATGATTGTCTTGTGCAAAATGCAGTGCAAAAACACATCTCAGGACTTGAGGAACTAAGTTTTGAGTCATTGTGTAATTCTGTAATGTGTATTGTATTTCTTAGAGGATACCTCATTAATATTAGAAAGGATGAAAATCCTTGTGAATCTGTGATGAATCAATCTGTTTGGGAAAATATTGAAATACCAACAAGAAGAAGAAAGACTCTATCTGCTTCAATTGAACCAGCACAAATAGGGGATGTTGAAGATCTTGATCCTCTTACAATATTTTGGGTAGATGAGGAACCGACAACTCATCATCAGTATGGAGATGTAGCCGAAACAAGAAATCCAAAAATCAAAGATCAAGTGTATGGTTTTGTTTTAGATCTCATTGCAGAATATAGATCAATCCAGAGAGACTCAATATTTTCGCAGAAATATCGTGCTCTGCAAGATTCTATGAGATTTTATTCAGATGGAATTGGTGATGTCTACGATTTTGAATATAAGGAAAAGAATTTATACTATGTGAAAGGAAAGTACGATTTCCACTATTGTGCTATCGTTTGTGGGTTTGAGGACATTGTTATTTGTGGAAAGGCTGCTGGTGAAATATTCTATTGGACTCCTTTTTGTTATTTTAGATCTGGCAAGAAAGAGGATAAAGAGAAGTGTACAGACGATGAGGAGAAGCGTACAGATCATGATGTCTCGCATCTTGAACCACTAAAAGAACTCAAAGAGGTTACTTTTGACAAGGTGTTGGATAATATTGAGGAATTTTTTTCTCAATTCATGTAAAACCAACATTCTACAGGATTTCCTGAGAGAGGGAATGATTTGAAGCAAAACGTAACATCATTCCAAAGGAAACGAGCTTAAAATCATGTCCAGCAAGACCATTATTCCGATTTTGATAAGAAAGATGTTGTTTTGTTAATAACAAAATAAGTGTGATTTTACTAACAAAAAGGTTGTAGATTTTAGGACTACATGAGCTTGCTCAGAGGGACGCTTGTCTTTCTAGATAGTATTCATTAATTAATGAATACTACCACTACTAATAACAACTCAAACTCCTAATACTGAGGGGCTAAAGCAAAACGAAGTGCATAGTGTTAAGTTGAAAAAACAAACAGCTTCACGATGATTTGATTCTACTACGTTTAAAAACGTTCTCGCTTTCTCGGAAATCCACAAGATTGATTTAAAGCAAAGTTATGAATTTTACAAACAGCAAACTTGGATACTAACAAGCTGGATTGCTTGTCTCGGCGAGATGGTTTCGGTTGGTAGGGTATTGTAGTGGTATACTCAACAAGCAAACCAAATGCTGGAAAGGAGGTTGCATTGGAACTAACTTTTTTGTTCTGGTCAAAATTTCTTGTAAACTCAAAAAAATATTTAAATAAAAAACAGATAAAAAAATAAAACAACTCATGCCAGCAAGAAAAAGGAAAAACAGCAAGAGGAAAGACTGTAAACACCAACCAGTGCCAAAACAACGAAAAACAACCACCGACAAGAAAACAGAAGAGAACAATCAAGCTGAGGATATAAACGAACATGTCCACCAAGTAATTTACGATGGACAAGAAGCCTTCCAAGTCGTTAGAACTCAAACCAAATCCAAAGTTGCACCAAGTAGTTTGGAATCAGTTGATAATCTTCCTTCTCTCCAAAAAGAATTCAACGTTTCCAAGTATATTGGAAAGACAATCTATTATATTGATATGGGTTCAAGTTTTATTAAGGCATGTAATTGTACTGTACCGAAAGAAGGAACCGACCTTCTCTGCAGATTCTTGAGGTTTGATGGAGACAAAAAAGATTTTCTTCCAAGTAGATCTTGGATAAGGGTCAACCAAACTGGTTCTCCTGAAGTAAAAACTGGCTCTCCTGAAGAGGTCTCAACATCCCCATCATCATGGGAAGAAATTGAGAATATCAAAAAGGTGTTCATGGTCTCAGAGTTATTAGAAATTGAGTTCAAGGGTGGCAGAAGAGAAAGGGTTGCTGATTTAATTTCATTAATTACTACAAACATTTTCAAAAATTTGACCACTAAAAAAACACGCAACAAGTCATATTTCCATGGTGTGAGCGCATTGTTTTTCACATGTCCAACTGGTACATCAGATTATGTAAAGTTGATTTATAGAAATGCGATTCTTGATGCCTTTACAAGACTTTCATCAAACACGCTCAATCTTAATGACGTCTACATTACGGAAGAGAGTTCTTGTTTGCAGCATTTTGTCCATGCCAGTTTACTCGTCAGTAATAGTGGTGTTATGATTGCTGATTTAGGACATCTGACTCTTGATGTTATCATGCTTGAGATGAAAGAGAAGGAACCGATTGTAACATTCAAGAATGGAAATGCAAGTGGCATTTCATTGATTCATGACGTTTTTACCAAGCATGGTATTGATCCATGTGAAGCTATGGCTGAACTATTTGATGATCCAGAGAGTGAAGAACTTCCACCTCATTATCAAGATTTGGAAGATGAAATTCAACAAGCACTCGAGAAGATTACCAAACCATTGGCCATGATGATGTTTCACAATGGTGTTAAACTCTTATATTTCTGTGGAGCCATTACCAAGCTAGTGTATTTTAGAAAAAGTTTGGAAAAAATGGTTTCAGTTGAAAGATTAGAACAAGTTAAAAAAGAATTGAGCCCCTACCTAAAAGATGAATATTTGAATAAGAATGTTGAATCATGTGAAATTATTGAAGAAAGCTCTGGTGGTAGTGCTCTTCTAAGAGGTATTGAATCAATCATTACATCATCTCTAAAATCCAGAGATGATAACAACCCATCCAATGCGTCAATTCCTTTGATTCTCAAAGAAGAACCTTCAGTTGTTGGAACCAACAGCACCAATGAAACAGAGGACCAATTTGTCCCAGCTATGATACAAGAGAGCGAAATAGAGCAGGATGGGAAAACTTCAACAATTAAGGAGCTTGTGTTGAATGGTACACTGTTTGACATGTATGTTAAACAAGATACTGAATTATTCCTATTAAGATTTAGCCCACTGATTGATATTAACAAAGTTAAAACCATCACTCAGGAAAATTGTGAAAGGATTGGACTCCTAGAATTCCTTAGATTTACCAGATTGAAGATTTACTTTGATAGAAGTATTGATCCTATCAAACATTGTTTCTATTTAAGATTACAATTAGAAAAAGATTACCTTGCCAGTCACATCTATTATAAGAAAAAGAGAAACTTCTTTAAGGTGGCCGTCAAAATTGAACGTAAAGGCAGACTTGAAAGAGTACGGAGTTGGTTATAAAACTGTATGTGTGGTTTCAATTGCCACTCAAAAACCAATTCGCAAAGACAAGATGGATGAAGAGTTGGGGACTGGACCTAGAGATGAAATTGAAGAATATAACGATCATGACGAAGAGGAGGAAATTGAATGTTTAAATGATGAAGATTTGAATTCCTTGAAGAAACACTTGTCAAAATGTGTAAATTGTGGAGGTGCAACTTCACTCGCCAGCAAACATAATACCTCCTACACAACAATCGATGATTACAACAAGTATTTGGGAAAAGATATTGGACTTGGTTTGATTTGCAATTCGTGCTATCAAAAGTATTACAACAAAAAGCGTGATAAACAATCTGATTGATCAGCAGAGGTGTACAAGACTTGAAATTCTATTCCATTTAACAATCAAATAAATATTATACATGATACTATTGAGAGTTTTACAACTTTATTGATCTGATTGTTTAACAATAACTCTCTCAATTCTTGATCTAATTTCTAGGAACATAATCAATGAGAATAGTGTCCTGTGGAGAGAGTGTCACTCTTGTCTTTAATACAAGCTTATAATTTGGATCAGACAATTTGAATGAATACTTTCTTGTGAGATAGGCAAGAGCAATAACTGATTCAACTTCACTAAAATATCTTCCCTACAAGGTATTATTAGATTTCAATTAGTTGTAAAAACTTACAATACAAACTCTTCCACCAATTCCAAATACAGAATAAACAAATGGATTAGTTTGTGGATTATGCAATGCACCAAAAACACCCATTCTTCTTTCATCTTCATCTTTCAAAAATCTGAGAGGATTAAATGTTTCGGCATCCTTCCAATATTCCTCATTTCTCAATGTATTTGCCCATGAATAGAGAACTAGTGAACCTTTTGGCAGTAAAACATTGTTAAATTCTGATGAATTGGAAGTGAGCTCTCTTGGAACACCCAATGCCACTGGATATAATCTCAAAGTTTCACGGAATAGAGCTCTGAGATAATCCAATTTACCAGATGCAAAATCATCATAATCGAAATGTTCCCTTCCATTATTTTGCTTGACAAATCCATCAATGAATTCATGAACTTGTTGTTGAACTGTTTCATTAGTTGCCAACACAAAAGTTGCAAATCCAAGAGTTCTTGCAGTTGTCTCAAATATTTTGTAAAATACTTGTAAAATTAATTATAAAACACGAACCTCATGGCCGGCAACTAAAAGAACAAACGAGTTAGAGATTAGTTCATCATTGGTGAGAGAGCCATTTTCATCTTTCTGTTTAGTTTTTCTTTCTCTTAATAAGATTGACAAGACGTCTGACTTTTGGTCATCTGAAGTTGATTCATTTTCTTCATGAATTTCTCTTTTTTGAATAATCTTTCCAATAGCTTGTTTGAAACATGTGGCTGCATCTCTAACCTTCCCAAACAATCCAATATTAATGTGGTTTCTAATAACTTTTGGACAAGTTCTATAAGTATTAATTGAATTAATATAGAGAGCTGATTTCTTTTCCAAACTATTTTCATCCTTATTATTGAAAGTATCAAAATTGTAACCTTTTACAATTCGAATTTATCATATAAAAAATAATCAATAAAAACTTACCAAATCCAGCAATTCCAATAACATTCATTGTTAATTTTGCAAAATCACCCATAATATCATTTCCATTTCTATTACTTTCTATAAATGGAATCATATCGTTTCGAACAGTTTCAGAAGTAACATGTGCAACCATTCTCAAACTTTCTGGAGTAAAACTTGGATCCATTAATTGTCTCTGATGTAACCAAGTATGATATTCATCTTCTACAAAAATATTAGTTCCAGAAAATAGTTCAACTTGAGCTGATTTTAACATGTTTGGTTTTTTAAATTTCTTCTTGGTTGCAATTTCCTTTCCCATTTTTGGATTATCAATAATTATCATTGGAGCATTTAAGAATCCAAAGACCATTTTGTAATGATCTGTTTTGAATTTCTTCTGGCTGTTTAATAAAGTATCCAATGAAAAAACATCACCCATGTCAGTAATCCAATTTTCATCTCGTAAAAATTGTGGAATAAATTTGACAAGTGGCGGAGGAACAAATTGACAATGACCAGGAATATGTGAAACCATTTTACAATGTTTTCTATAAACTACATATCTGTGCAGTAGAAATAGAAAAGCAACAGAAAGAATAAACAATAAACTATACGAAAGTATGGTGAAAGCAGTGAGTAACATTTTTTTTTCTTTCGAACAGTCCAAACTATTGACATGTTATTAGTGGATACAGTGGAATTTCGTTGGATTGTGAAATTCACTGGATGCGACAATGGAGAAATTGATTTATTCCGTTTAGAAATTTCCAAGTTGACCTGAACTCTGTTGAAAATTCTATTTTACTACAGCAAGTGAATTGATTATTAAAATAATTATTGTTACAATTTGAAACCAGAATTGACTCAGTGCCGTAGTCTAGACTGCCCAATAGTAGAAATGGCGCTGTTGGGTACCGTTAACAATAATTTTAAATATATATATAATTAATTTAAAAAAAACCACAGATACCCATGTTGCAACAAAACAAGTGTAAATAGTTCCTGCAAATGTACAACAGTGAACATTTCCATTCTTTGGTAGAAACAAGAAAAAATGTCCCGACAAGATAACGTTGTGATTACTTTGATAGATTTTCATCATCAAATAACAACATCATCATCGAATCCATCATTATTGGAATATTCTAATCGTGATGGTGATGGTGATCATGATGAATTATGGCTGCGGAGGTTGTTGAAAAAACACTTGATGGAAACATCACAAGAAAGAACCAAGTTTCTCAACGTTAAATATGATTAACATGAGGCTCATGGAATATTATCCATCGGTTTGTTCTGACTTTCCTATTGAAGCTTCAATGATGAAAATATTAGGCTCCGATGAAGAATTCATGTTAAAGGCTGGCATGTATTGTTGTGAATTGATTGACTTGGCTAGCGATGATCTTCGTGAGAAGCTTGCTTTAAAAGCTGTACAACACAATGGAATGGCAATGGAATATTTCAATGATGATGAAATTGTAGAGTATGGATTGTTGTTAGAAGCTGTTAAACAAAATGGGTATGCTCTGAGTTGTGTTTCAGATCATGGTTTGGTCACTTATGATGTTTGTAAGGAAGCTATTAAGAACGATGGATCAGCTTATCAATTTGTGGATTCATGTGGACATGCTTGTACAGAGCTATTTGAAATTGCATGTATTGATGATCCTTATTTGGAAAATGATGAATATTATATCAGTCAAAGTGTGGGAAAGTACGTGGCTTTGAATTCAGGAGTTTTTGCGACTGGTCAGCATTACCAAACGAATATGGATTTTCTTAAACGATTAACAAAAGAGCATCCAGATCTAAATATCTTTGAACTGGACCTAGATGCCAGTGACGAACTGCAAAGAATATCTGTAAAATATAGTCAGAATCCATTGGATGACTGGCAGTTCCGACAACCATTTTATGTGAACACAAAAGATTTCTGCCGTATGGTGAGACATTGTGGGGAAATGTTGTTTTATGCAGAGAATCAAACCAGAGAAATGGTTTTACTTGCCCTAAAGAATAATGGAGAGGCTATTCAATTTGTGAACAATGAATTCCTCCGAGACAACGAAATCATTTTGGAAGCTATCAAAACCTTTCCATATGCAATTCAATATTCGTGTGATGAACTATATCAGGATAGAGATTTCATTTTGGAATGTGTAAATGAAAATGGAGAAGTTTTGAGTTATATTTGGGAAGATTATGGAGATGATCGTGAAATTGTATTGAATGCAGTAAGAAATTGTGGGCTATCTTTGGAATATGCCTCAGAAGAGCTTCAGGCAGATAAGGAAATTGTTTTGGCAGCCGTTTCCAATGATGGAAGTGCTATTGTGTATGCTGATCCTGATTTACAAAATGACTGGGAAGTTCTATCCATGACAACATCCACTCACACCAATGCAATAGAATATATTATGGAAAGAGAGGATGACATTAAGAAGGCCACACTTTTATCACGAGAAAATGTTCCATTAATTTTAGAGAAAATGAAAGATTTTGGTAATGTTGACAGAAACATGCTATTGAATGCACTCAAAAAAAACTCAGCACTTTTCCAGCAGATTCCAGAGGAGTTGAAAAGTGATAGAGAGTTTATTTTGGAGACTGTTAAAGGTAATGGATTTGTACTCCAGCATGTATCTGATACATTCAAGGATGATCTAGAAATTGTTACAGAGGCTGTGAAGGATAATTCTTATAGCATTGAGTATGCCTCAAATAGATTGAAACAAAATTGGAGACTCAGAAAACTTGTAAAAGAACTAGATGAGAGGGAATACAAAGATTGGTTTAATTATTGGGGTACAAGAAGTGAAGTATATGATATTCCAAAACCAAAACGATACAGAGAGGAAACTAAGGAGTTTGATGAAGTATTTGATTCTGATAGCGAATATGCTGAATATTATTCGAGTGAATCAGAAGACGAAGAGGAATCACAATCAAAAAAGAGAAAGATGGACGAGTTGCTCAATAATGTAGATTAAATATTTTAATTTACCATTTAGAAATATCTACTTTACAATGCACTCTACAGTAATCGACTAGTGTTCTCCAAATGTGTTTAGAACTATCAGGAACTGGAAAACCTTCCATTTCTGCATTGGTCATGGCTTTTTTCAAGTATTCTAGAATTCCATCAATTGACTTTTTCACTACCAACTTGTTTGAAGTTACAAAATCAAAGTTTCCAACAATCCCACCAATATTGAACATTCTTACATCTACAATTCTTGTTCTATTTGAATCTATTTTGGAATATATTCTGCCTCCTACCACAATAATTTTAATTGGAGCTTTGGAATCTTCATTCTTATTAGAAACATAGGAACATGTCTTGTAGAGATGAATGGCATCTTGTATTTCATCTCCACAAAATGTTGCCTTGCATGACATGACATTTTCCAATGCACGTTTCTTGAATATTGATCCATAATTCCACAATGATGTTTGAATTACAGTAGAATATTTTCTACTCGAAATGGAAGGATCAATTTCAGTATAGTGATGATATTCAGAACTTTCAATCATGTTATCACTACCTCCTAATTCTTCAATGTTAGCAAACATGGTTTTCAATACATTTTCCAGTGAATAATTGACCGTTGTAACGAATTTTTGCATTTTCATGTCAGTAAATTTACAATAATTTTCTTTTGATTTAAATCCTGCTATTATTGGATTTGAATCCATTAGAATCTTCCAATCTTCAGTATGTTCGGCCAAATATTGAATGAATTCAAAATCAGAGTCTAGAATTGTTTTCATATTCAAATCTTCTTCAGTTAATTTGTAGTTTTCATGATAGTGTAAATATTTCTTTCTCTTTTTGGAAATTGTGTCAATAATATAGTTTGGCAAACTCTTTACATTCTTTTCCAACCACTTTTTAACAAACTTGGGATTAGCTTTTTGAAAAAGTGAAAAGTAATCTTCCAATTCAGAACTCAACATGTAAATTAACATTTTCAATTCATTTTCATCCAAATATTCTAGTAATAATTGAGAAGAGGGATTTGTCTTTTCTAGTGGCTGTCCAACATCACTTCCAGGGAATGACAATGTTGGAGAATTTACAAAACTTAGTGTTGTTGATGATACTGAAGGTGACAAGAACATTCCAGTATTATCTTCAGGTGAAGAGGAAACTTCAATTTCTTGACTAGCTTTCTCTGACAAATATTTCTTTAAATTTTCAGATTGTTTTCTGAACCATTTCACCAAATATTCGTGATTTTTCAAAATGGAATTGTCAGGTTGAATCTTTTGCATTTCCTCGAAGTTATACAAATATGGAAATGTATCTAATAATGAAAAGGAAAGTGAATTTTTTGATTGAATATGAATCAATGTCAAATATTGATCACACATTCTGAATAATGTTTCACAATTCTCAATTCTCTTTCTTCTATTCCTTGTTGGATCATAAAACTCATCTAAAAACATTAATTTATGCAATTTCAATAGGAAATCACCAGAATTTCCACTAGTTGACTTTAAATATTGTTGAAAGCGATCTCTCAATTCGACAATGCATGGAACCGTGAATGATCTTCCATCATGAAATTCAGTAAACGTTGCATTGCTATCAATAGTTAATTGTGAAGGAGAACTACTACAACCAGATGACGAATCATTCGTATAGAGTGGACCAACTGTAAGTTGAGTAGAACCGAAAGAACCTGAAGCAGACGAAACACTCTTACTTCTACTCATTATTGACTTTCTAATAACTTCCTCTTCTGTTGTTGTGGCTTTCTCAGAAAGCATGGATGACAAACTTCTTGTTGATCCATCCACGATAATTGTGCTGAGTGGAAAGTAATACAAATGTTTGGATGATGATGAAGGTTTAACTGCAGATTTCATTGAAGAATTGGGTGTCGCACCTTTAAAAGATGATTCTCTTATTGGATATGTGTTAGTTTTTCACTAATTTTTTTTTAAACTTAATTTTATCAAACACTTGCCAAAAGTCAAATGACATGTGATAGTATTTATGCGTTTAAGAGATGATAACAAGTATTTATGGACATTTCCCTCCATTTTAAACAACTATTGGTTAAATTGTGTGATCTGTTAATTTTTATTTGTCTAGTTTTTCTCCCATTTCAATTCAACATTTACTTTACAATGAACTTTACAATAATCTGCAAAAGTTTTCCAAATAAAATGCTTATCAGATTGTGGCATTGGGAAACCTTCCTTTTCTGATTTCTTCATTGATTTTTCCAAATATTCCAAAGTATCGTCTAGCATTTTCTTGGACGAAAGTTTGTGCACTACAAAATCTGAATTGAAAAACATTCCACCAACATTGAACATTCGTACATCAATTACTTTTGTTCTATTCGAATCGATTCTTGAAAAGATTCTCCCTCCAACAATAACTATCTTTACAGGAGCTTTAGAATCTTCATTCTTATTAGAAACATAGGAACATGTCTTGTAGAGATGAATGGCATCTTGTATTTCATCTCCACAAAACGTTGCCCTACATGAAATTACATTTTCCAATGAACGTTTCTTAAATATCGATCCATAATTCATAATTGAAGTTTGAATGACTGAAGAATATTTTCTACTCGAAACGGAAGGATCAATTTCAGTATAGTGATGATATTCAGAGCATTCAATCATGTTATCCTTTTCACCAATTTCATCTGTGTTACAAAGAGTTGTTTTCAAGACATTTTCAATGGAATAATTGATTTTTGAAATGAACTTTTGCATTTTCATATCTGGAATTTTCGAATAGTTTTCTTTTGATTTGAAACTTTGAATGATGGGAGAATCTGAATTCATTATTGTCCAATCTTCAGTATGTTCTGCTAAATATTGAATGAATTCAAAATCAGAGTCGAGAATTGTTTTCATATTCAAATCTTCTTCTCTCAATTTGTAATTTTCATGATAATGTAAATATTTCTTTCTCTTTTTGGATATTGTGTCAATAATATAGTTTGGCAAACTTTTTACATTCTTTTCCAACCACTTTTTCATGTATTTAACATTTGACTTTTGGAAGAGTGAAAAGTAATCTTCCAATTCAGAACTCAACATGTATGTTAACATTTTCAATTCATTTTCATCCAAATAATCGGCAAGTTTCGATTGTTCTGCTTGTTTTTCCTCAATGCCAGGTATGGATTTTGTTGGAGAATTAATATATCCACTCAATGTTGGAGAAGCCATCGATTCATTTAGGTCATGTGTTGATTCCTCTGGTGAAACTGGTGAAGTGGATTCTCCACCATTCAATACTTCTTGATTAGCTTTCTCTGCCAAATATTTCTTTAAATTTTCAGATTGTTTTCTGAACCATTTCACCAAATATTCATGATTTTTCAAAATGGAATTGTCAGGTTGAATCTTTTGCATTTCTTCAAAGTTATACAAATATGGGAATGTATCTAATAATGAAAAGGAAAGTGAATTTTTTGATTGAATATGAATCAATGTCAAATATTGATCACACATTCTGAATAATGTTTCACAATTCTCAATTCTCTTTCTTCTATTCCTTGTTGGATCATAAAATTCATCTAAAAACATTAATTTATGCAACTTGATGAGATAATCATCAGCTCTCCTAGTTGAAGTTTCTTTCAAAAACCTCTGAAAACGATCTCTCAGTTCATAAACACATGGAACAGTGAACGATCTTCCATCATGATATTCTGTAAATGTCATTGAACTGTCAACGGTCATTAATGATGGCGAGCTACAATTTGATGAAGTATCATTGAAAGTTTGGTTATTTCCAGTTGCTGCTGAAGATGTGGAATCTTGTTGAGAGAACGAGTCCACAATGGTGGTCAATAAATTAGTGGCACCATCAAGAATTACACAACTCAACGGAAAATAATACAGGTGGGATGAAGCAGAAGACTTTTTCCTCATTAGTTTGAATTAGTTTTGATTAGTTTTGATGGAAAACAGGCGTTGATGAGTGTTGTTGTGAAAATTAACGTCAATACGTATCAATTGACCAGACTAGGATGAGGTAGGGTATTGAATGATTTTTTTTTGGTTGGGTAATTGGGTACTTGATGATGTGAAAATGATTCTTGTGAAAAGTTATTTGTTTAGAATGGTAGTCAGAAACTATTTTAGATACTTGTTAACTTCATGATTATTTTGTTAATTTATTTTACGATTCGAAAAAAGTTAAATGGAATTTGTTGTTGAGCGAAGAATTTCTTTGAGGAGTCAAATGTGGCCACATCTCGACATTTGCTTTTACAAACGAAAACAATGGAACTAGCCCAAGTCTAGTAAATTAGTTAGAACTGTTCATTTTTTAATTAAAAACACTAAGCGTTGAAGATGAGAACTATTTCTATTGGAATGAAGTAAGAATTTTAAAAATATTCAGTTTCATTGAAGAAGGGACAAGTGCGTCAATGGTAGATAAGAAAAACAACAGGATATCCCATCGGATTGTTTGGAAGGAAATAATTTCTGACCTAAGCTTGTGGTCGAAAATCTCAAACAGGAACTATCACGAATTAAGACTAGTTTTTTGAATAATAAACAAAATGATTCTCCCATGCCGGGAATTGAACCCGGACCTCCTGGGTGAAAGCCAGGTATCCTAGCCATTGGACTACACGGGAATCTTATTCATTCCTCATAAAAATATGCTAATGTCTTAATATCTTAATAAATCGGAACCTAAAATCTCTTAATTAACCAACATCTAGGTCAGAAGGTGTTTAAACTTTGGTTATTCTATTTATTAATTGTACATTTTAATAATTGCTCTATAACACTATCAGTAAACTTAATTTTTTTGTCCTTTCTCTTTAACAATCTATGCTTTTCCTTAATTATCCTATACTGTTGTCTCTCCTGTTCATATTTTTGTTTTTCTTTTAGTTTTTGTTCATAAAGTTCAACAGTGTTCATTGCAGAAAGAATCTCTCCAGTTTTATATTCAAAAGGATTTGTTTTTGAATTCATCCACGAAAGACTTATAAACATGAAAAGGCATCCAACTATTTCAATAAGATGATCCACATTGCAAAAGTCCCAGGTTTGAATCTTGTTGAATACGAAATAATCCAATGAATAAGGTTGATGTGAACAAAAGAAAGTAATTTTACAACCATGGATAATGAAACAAAGAGAGAACATACTACCTTTTTTGAAGTTTGTTTGTTTTCTTTGCATTATGTGTGAAGTGAAAATACAGTTTCTCCATTCCTCTTCACTCTCTATTGACAAGTCATTTGAAACTATTCCACACATATTAAATTGTTCATAGCTAATTGCTAGTAATTGATTGACTAGGATATTTCCATTCTCATCTCTTAAATAATCATTCACCTTAACTTCAACTCCCATAGAATTAAAAAGCTTAATAATGAAATTCAAGAAGGGAATGTGATTTAACATTGAGGATCTCTTACTCTTCAAGTCATATTCTTCCTTTACAAAACTAGAAAAACATTTGAACATGGGAGAATAAATTGCTATCTTTGGGTATTCTCTAATGTATTCCTCCATATAAGAATCAGATTCAAACAATATCTTTCTAAAAAACAGCAAGCTGTACATGGTATATTTATCGAAATGGTCATTCAAAAAAAACGGAACTTGAAAGCTTTTCTCAAGATCATCATAGTAATCTTGTACATTCCATATCAGAAACAAATCAAGAACAAACTTATCAATAATTATTTCTTCTCTTTGCTCGGGAGATAAAACATCATATAATAATCTGCTTCGTTGTTCCATATTTTCAGACATTCGTGATTTAAAGAAAAGTTTGTTTTCCTTTAAGAAATTAGTTTTTTTGTGGATGTAAGTTTTCCAATGTTCAATATTCTTCCGTACAGCTTGGTTATGAGTTGAGAACAATAGTGTTTCAGCCATTTTTTTTTGAAAAACAATTAAGGGGATTTTCTCCGTATTAAAGTATTAAAACTACAATGTTCAATAAATCTTATTTCGCAGGAAATTATACTCTCTTTGCTTAAACTATTAAGCAACTGTATTAATGTCCTATTGAATTATTGTTCAAAAGGAAATTGAAAAAGCTCACTAAAAAGACTACAGCACCACAGGTTCCCAAGTTGTCTCCAACCTCAGTACTGATGTGGCTCGACGATGCTTAACTTCTCAAATCGGACGGGATGAGGTGCATTCATCGTGATATGGCCGTAGCCAACCACAATACAAAAATCATAATATTGAACTATTTATAAGATAAACTAAGTAAATATTCCAAGTGAATCAGTCCTTTGTTCAGGTTAATAAAAGTACTGCCTTTTTCCAGTATTGATATTGAACTTGTAGAAATAGTGTTGGCAGTATCCTAATGCTTCCTCACAGTTTGGATTCGTCAAATTTTTGAATTCTTCACCACATTCAAACTCTTCAATGAAACGTGGTAACCATTTCAATCTGCCCTCTTCTTTCACCAACTCACTAGCTGTCTTGTATTCTCCGTCATGTAAATAATAAGGCAGTTGAATAGGCCAACAAACAAGCTTTGGTATTCTTGCAAAACCTTTTCTGGTAAACTTCCTTCCAAATTTTAACATTAGGTTCCAATTGATTATTTGACATTTTTTTCCAAGTTTGGAGAAATGGACTATCACTTCCAAAAGAACTACTTTCTGTCAAAAACATAAATCTACAAACTGTTTGCAAAAAGATCTGATCAATCGTACTTGTACTAGAATATTTAAACAAATAGAATGGATCATATTCCAGTAAATATCTATTCATCGATGTAATGACACAAGTTTTGGTCAATTTTTCAATCACCAAATCTCTAAAATCCTCCAAATACCTTGGTCTTTCATGGCATTTCTCTAAAAAAGTTGCACTACCCAATTCCTTCAAAATACAATAATGTAACTGTTTACGAATTACCTTCATTATTACTGTCGTTCTATTTTCAATGGAACCATTCTTTCCAACTCTTTCGAAATTATCACTCAATTCCAAAAAGGAAAAATTCTTGAATTGTTTCCTTGTTTTTCTCTCTTTCGAGTTTCGTATAAGATCGAGATGATGTAATTGAATCATCCACACTCTATATGCTTCCGAACTTTTCAACAATTCATAAAATTGTGAAAAAGACAACATTAAATTACGTAAATCATCCAAATTGCAAAATGAATAAATATCCAAAATTAATTCTATGGGAAGAGAATTTATCAAGATGGGTCTTCAAGTTGCGACATTTTTTATTAATGAACTTTATTTGCAATTTCAATTTCATATTTGCAGAAAAACATAACAACTAGACTTTTGCTCAACATTCCTATGAGCACAATAATTACATTTATCAAGATTCTCTTCACATACACTCTCCACATCTGCATAGTCCCAACTCTTTGACGAAGAAAAGTTCAAGCTAAAAAACCTATCGACAGTTTAGAACAGCTCGTTCTAGATAATTACTTGGAGAAGAGAGGTAATATTTTCAGATATGATAGTATAACAGTTGTGGATGTGAAGATATAGAAAGTTGAAGTATTTAAAGTTAAACAACGGGAGAAAAGATCGCTGATATTGGGAGAAAGTAAAAGTCAGTCGCAGACTGCAGGATTCGAACCTACGAAGGTTTCCCCACGAGATTTCGAGTCTCGCGCCTTAACCTCTCGGCCAAGTCTGCTCTGGCTTCTTTGAAAAAAATGTTAATAAGAGCAATAAAAATTTGGTTTGTAATTTTTGTGATTATCAACGAACTCAAACAACCACCAGATCATGGACCATTTCCACGTTGATGGTCAATTTATTGGTAGTGTTGCTTGTGTAAACCTTAAATTATATTTTAAAAGAATAGAAAAAAGGATAAAAAGAATAATTTTGAGCTTATTCTTGTTATTATTTACAAAAAACTATTCAAATTTTGTAATAGAATTTTGCTAATTCCTTTCAAGCATGCCTAGATCTAATCAGATGATACTACTCTGACTGATAAATTTTAGTACCTAGTGAGTGGGAATATTTTCTCGATTCTTTTACATCCCGAAAAAATCCTTTTCATACACAGTTGACCCAATCATTCGTTCAAGTTTCTTTTTCATCTTGTGAGGTTTCACAACCCCGATTCATTAAATGACTCTCCCTATTATGTTGATTATTTTGATTATTTTGATTATTCCTTAAAGATAATTCCTTCCTTCTTTCTTCCATTCGTTTGAGAACTGATGGTGGTGGTTTAGTTTCCTGTACAATAGGTATAAAATCCCCAGTCTCTTGATCCTTACATATTGTCCTAAACAGTTTATACTCTTCCATATTGTTGCAAATTATTGTCATTCCAGTTGGAAGACATAACTGTTTGGGAAATATTAAATCAGATTCATCCTCATTGTTCTTCCCTTCCTCTACTCTCACATTGTTAAATAAATAATTATTTGTAGCATTAAAAGTAGAATCACTATTATTCATAAGGGTATCATTTCCACTTTTCGAATTCAAATTATTCGGCGACTGTAAATTAAAATCAAAATTATCAAATATTAAAAATTCATCCTGATCATCATTTACATCCTCTCTCGGTATCATGTTATTAATTATTGATAGCAATTCATTCGTATTACCATCCAATTCTAATCCTAATAATAATGGCTGCTGTTCATCGTGTACAACAAACTGCAGAACCGCATTTTCCTTCATCTCGTTACTACTATTGCTGTTACTTGTAACAGACATTTTTTTTATTTTTAGATTTAAAAAAACAAAACGTGAAAGCACAATTTAAATAGAGGAGATTGCCGGTAACGTGATATTGCTCCAAAGATATTTAAAATAGAGTACGTTTGTTATGGAATCAGTAAGGTGAATCTATTAAATTGGAAGGAAAACGTGTCTATTCTTATTGATATTAATAGCTTGTTTAATTTTAGGCATTAAAATTTAGAATTTTAGGCTTCGGAATGAACTTGTAATGTTACATGAAGTTAGGTAGAAAATAAGTGATGTTAAGAATTTCATTGAAATAACAATTAACGCTTTGTTGTGTAAATATCAAATGAGTATCCACCTGGTACACAACCATTTGGCAACATGCTCCGACATTTGACAATTAGAAAAAAATGTCATCCTATCCAACAAGCCCAGGAGCATTGGATGATTTGCCTTCATCATCATTATCTTCATCACCCTCACCACTACAACCACCCATCATCACCTCATCCATCATCAATAATAGTAGAACAACAACAATAACAACAACAAATCACAATAATGAATCTTCACCTCGAGGTGGAGCTTCCACGTTGGAAGTGATAATAGTGAATTGTGTGAACAGATTTGCATTGATCAACATTTACTACAAACCTATCAATATGCTGAACCAGCCTATATTAACAAGATTTTACAAGAATTCAAGTCGGGAAGAAAGTTAAAATCATCCCTTGAGAAGAAAGCTACCACACTCAAGGATCATTATTTTGTATTGGATGATGAGGAAACTTTTATAGAGGTAAAGGATTCGAAAAAGAAGGAAACTAAAGTACATGGTATGTAGGAAATATTCTAAACTATTTAAACCTGTTATTATCAAAACAAACACGTACTATTTATTATTATGATGTGTAATATTGATGAAAATAATTGAAATTTAATGATTTGATATTGATAGTGTTTTTACGAGATATTAAACAAATTTGTGGTAGTGACATGATGGGTAAAGCAGCAAAAACTCAATCAAAAGGTTATTTTGGTAGAAAAATAGAGTCACCACAATTGGAACATGGATATACAATTATTTATGGTGCCAAGGATGAACAAATTGATATCATGTGTGAGAGTTTGAATGAATTTAATGAAAATATTTGTTTACTCAATTACTTGATTAGAGAATCAAGAATTAGTTATGATAGAGATCCAACCAAGTTGTTGATTTTAAAACATTGGATGAAAGCTGACGTGAATAATGATGGACAACTGGATTACAAGGTAAGTTTTATTCACATTCAATTTTTTTATTTAATGTATTAAACAATTTTTGCTATTATTAGGAAGTTGTAAAATTATGCCAAAAGTTGAATATTGACATGTCAAGTAAATCAATGAAACAAAAATACAAACAATTTGATACAGATGGAAGTGGATATATTGAATACCAAGAATTTGTTGAATTTTACAAATCTATGATGAGAAGACCTGAAATTGAAAGTACAATCTTTGCCAGATATTCAAAGAAACACCAATTAGTACTCTCTCAACAATTCTTTGAGTTTATTCTCTCCCAACAAGATGATCAAGATATTAAAACAGTTGAAGATGCAGAAAAATTAATGCAAAATCATGGAGCCATTCAAACAGAAATGGGATTGGGTTTGACAAGTTATGATTTTACCAGATATTTATTTTCACAAGCAAACTCAATATTGAAACCAGGATTTAAGAAATTACATCAAGATATGACTCTACCACTGTCTCACTACTTTATTTCATCTTCTCACAATACCTACCTGACAGGACATCAATTGAAAGGAGAAAGCTCTGTTGAAAAGTATAGAGATGTACTGTTGACTGGCTGTCGTTGTGTCGAATTGGATTGTTGGGATGGTAAGGATGAACCAATCATTTTCCATGGTCACACTCTCGTCTCTAAAATTAAATTCAGAGATGTAGTCCAAATTATTCACGACTATGCCTTCAAAGCGTCAGAGTACCCTGTAATTTTATCATTGGAAGTTCACTGCAGTGAACCACAACAAGAAATGATGGCCAAGATTATGGTCCAAATATTTGGAGAGGATTTGTACATGCCTCCACCTGAAGATATTGTGACATATCCATCTCCTCACGAATTGAGGAGAAAGATCCTTCTCAAAGGTAAGAGATTGTGCAGTGGAACTGATGAAGATGACGATGAGGAGGAAGACGATGAGGATGACGAAGCTGTCTCTACTCCATCCTCCTCGAAGGAGAAACCAAAGAAGGAAAAGAAAAAGTCCAAAGTTGCCAAAGGTCTCTCAGATATAATTGCATTGTGTGCAGTTTCATTCCATGGAGAGTTTGCTGAGCCATGTTGGAAAATGCACAGCTTCTCTGAAGGTAAATTGGAAAAGCTCCTAAAGAAGGATCCAGAAGCCCTTGTCAAGTATAATAAGAATCACATCTCTAGAACCTATCCAAGAGGTACCAGAATTTCATCAAGTAATTACAATCCAATGTTGGGCTGGGCCACTGGTTGTCAAATGGTTGCTCTCAATTATCAGACCTATGATGAACATATGAGATTTAACGAAGTTTTATTCGAGGAGAATGGAAAATGTGGCTATGTTGTAAAACCTGACTTTTTACGTTTAGAGGGCATTCCAAGTCCATTCTCTGCTGGAACTTCACCAGTATTATCTGTTGTTTTTACAGTGAGTTTCTATTCTTTATTTTTATTATTAACTTTATATTTTAAATAATTGAATGAAATTACTGGAATATTTTATTGGAAAGGTTGTTTGTGGAGAACAATTGCCAAAACCAGGTATGAGTGATAAGGGAGAAATTGTTGATCCATTTGTCAGACTTCAAGTATTAGGTATTCCACAAGATGAATATGATGAAAAGTCAGAAAGTGTAACTGACAATGGTTTCAATCCAGTTTTTAACAAGAGATTTGCCTTTAGCATTACCTGTCCAGAGTTGGCTGTAATTCGTATTTCAGTTTATGACAAGAACAAGACTGCGAATGAATTTTTATGTGAAAATTATCTTCCAGTTCGTCAATTAAAGAAAGGTTGCAGAAGTATTCCAATGCTCAATCAATATGCCAAACCGATTGATGGATGTGTTCTCTTTGGTGAAATTAGAATGAGAGAATTGAGAAGAACTATGAGTGTTGGAAGTGACAAAGCCAATACACCAACCACCGATTTATTAAGCACAGCACAAACTTTGGCTGGTTCAATTGGAAGTGGTGGCTCACTAATTAGCCCATCTCCTCTTGGAACGAGTTTGAATAATACTAGTTTGGAATTAGGTGGAAGTAACACTCCTCTCTCTCCATCTGCAGATAGAAGAGCTTCAACAAACTCGTATAATCAGGAGATTTCATTCTTTGATGTTTTAAATGATGTGTAAATAAATTAATTTAAACTAGTTTCTTTTATTAAGGGCAATAATGAAAGAATTGAAAAAAAAATCTTCTACCATTTTCTGGAACATCTGAATGAAAATCACCAGAAAAAAAATGCCAAAACAAAACAAGAAGAGAAAACACGCAGAAACATCATCATCTAAAGAAGAACATGTTGATGAAAATATTGATGGTGTTTTATTTAATGAAATGACCTCTGTCAATGATCAATTACTTTCACTTTCTAAAAAGGTGAAATTGGTTGGTCATCATTATTTTGTAAATAATAGTTCCATGATTGATGAATTTGTGGGCAATATTAACGAATTCTTGAAGGATTTGGATGTGCATAGAAGAAAAGTTTCGTCCGATCAATTAAACTCTGATAATTTATTTCACATTTATCAATTTTTGGATTTACCAATTCTGATGAATTCCTGTCAATTGGTATCCAAGACTTGGAGAGAAACCTTGAAGAGACTTTCGTTTAAAGTGAAATTAGGTTCTAAAAGTTATACAAAAAGAAATTCAGTCAAAATTGGAAAGGAAGAGATTACCAGTTTATTAGATGGATCATTTATCAAGAATGTCACTTCATTGTCATTGTTTTCTGCTGGTGTGGATACATTTCAAGCTCTTGCTTCTTGTAAAAAGTTGGACAATTTGACAAAATTGGATTTATCATCTAATAATATGGGAATTCAAACTGTGAAGAATTTAAAGAAATGTTCAATTAAGAATTTGACAAAATTAAACTTGTCCGGTATGAGAAAGTTTACAGAAAAGGAGGTAAAAGAGTTGCTCAATAGCAGTTTCATGTCTAGTGTTAAAAAATTAGATTTATCAAGTCATGATTATCCAGAAACAATTCTTCAAATCATGTCAGAATCCAAATATTTGAATCAACTCACTCATTTAAAATTACCACAACATGTTCAATATTTGAAGAAAGGAGATAATGGACTAGTCCCATTTTTGAAAGATAAGGTCAATCTGGAATATTTGGCTATTAGAAATCGTAGCTTGAATGAATCTCAATACCCAAACTTGTTTACAAGTTTAACCAATATTACTAGCCTTGATCTTTCCTACGGTTACATGCCAAATAGTGAATTTGTAAATTTAATTTTTTCTCCAAGTTTACCAAAACTCACAACACTCAAAGCTGAACGGTTTAATTGGACAAATGCAAACATATTTAAAGAGAGAACACAGTATACCAAAGAAAATTCAGAGGTTGTACAGTGTCCTCCAAACTCCCAAAGCTCAATTACTGATTTGTATTTGAAAAATACCTACATTTCAACCTTTCCTTCCCTCACTTATCATTGCCCAAATCTAAAGAGGCTCACCATCTCTAATTCATATGCTTTAGATTGCGAAAACAAGGAATTATTGAAAAGTACCTATGTTACCTTTTTGAGTGCTCCTACCTTATCTAATTTGGAATACTTGGATATTTCTGACTTGACTTGTTTAGAATCTTTATTCGAAATCATTTTCGATTCATCAGTCTATTCCAATTTGAAGGAATTAATTTGTAAATGCTCCAATGTACATGGAATCAAATTGTATGAAAACCTTGTTTCAAAATGTACCAATTTGGTAAATTTGAGAAACTTTGATGCATTTGCAGTTTCTGCATCAAGTGAATGTGTGAAAGCTTTGCAAACTAATCCAACTTTTGCCAAGTTAAGGAAAGTTAGAATCAACTCATATGATCACCAAGAATTATTAAGTTATTGGAATAAATAAAGTATGAAAAATTAATAAAATACAATTTATGTAGTACAAGATTTAGAAACACTTTCTGTGGACAATTTGTTCACCGGCATCCTCATATTCTTCCTTGGTAACCCACATCTGTTGGAAGGTTGACAAGCTCGACAAGATGGAACCACCAATCCAGACAGAGTACTTTCTTTCTGGTGGAGCAACAACCTTAACAGACATAGAAGCTGGAGCCAAACCAGTCATTTCCTTCTTCAATCTTTCTGGAATACCTTCGAACATGGTAGTACCACCAGACATGACAATATTGTTGAAGAGATCCTTTCTGATATCAATATCACACTTCTTGATAGTATTGTTAGTAGTTTCATGGATACCTGAAGCTTCAAGACCAATGAGCATTGGGTTGAAGAGAGCTTCTGGACATCTGAATCTTTCGTTACCAACAACAATGACGTTACCATCAGGGAGTTCGTAGTCCTTTTCAATGGAAGATGGGTTGGTGGAGAAGTTCTTCATTTCTTCATCGAAGTCTTGAGCAACATAGGAGAGCTTTTCCTTAATGTCTCTGACAATTTCCTTTTCAGCAGTAGTGGTGAATTGATAACCTCTTTCAGTCAAGAGCTTAACCATCCATTCAGTCAAGTCACGACCAGCCAAATCAATTCTTTGGACAGCGTGTGGCAAGGAGTAACCTTCATAGATTGGAACAGTGTGAGTAACACCATCACCAGAGTCAACAACGACACCAGTAGTTCTACCAGAAGCATACAAGGACAAGACAGCTTGGATAGCAACATACATAGCTGGAACGGAGAAGGTTTCGAACATAATCTTGGTCATCTTTTCTCTGTTAGTCTTTGGATTGAGAGGAGCTTCAGTCAACAAAACTGGGTGTTCTTCTGGAGAAACTCTCAATTCATTGTAGAAAGTGTGATGCCAGATCTTTTCCATGTCTTCCCAACAAGTAACAATACCGTGTTCAATTGGGTACTTCAACTTCAAGATACCTCTCTTGGATTGAGCTTCATCACCAACATAGGCGTCCTTACCACCCATACCAACCATGGTACTTTGCATCTTTGGATAACCGACAATAGATGGGAAAACTGATCTTGGAGCATCATCACCAGAGAAGCCAGCCTTACACATACCAGAACCGTTATCGACAACCAATCCTTGAACTTCTTCACAGAATGACATTCTTATTTGTTTGTTGTTTTTTTTCTTGTTGTAATTATGAGTAAGGTTGTTCCGTGTGTGGGTTGTTTAAAAATTGATTTGCCTTAACAACGGAGTGAGGTTGTGTGGCCTTGTTGCGCCACGTCAACAAGCCGCAGGTTGGATCTTAACAAGAAGGGTTGAAAGAACTCTAGCCGTCGACTATTGTTTGCGCGTTGTTTGTGTTGTTGTTGGGCGAGTTTAGAAGTTGAACGGTGCGATTTGAGTTGTGCCTTAATGATGAACAGAGGAAGAGGCCGTAACACAAGAGTCAAATGCACCTTTTCATTACAGTTGAACGTACTTACAATACTTTACAACTCTAATTGAATTGAAGCTTCTGTGGAGCAAGCAATCTGGTTGGACAGTTGATCTTTCCAATAATACCACTTTCCACTTTTGAAAGAGTTGCTTGTTCTTACTTGTTCTTCAAGTGTAGTGAGAAGATACTAAGCAGTAGATTATTAGTGCGAGATGATCATTGCAGAGATAGTATTATTATTATTACACAATTAGATTGAATATATTATTATAATTTAAAGAATGACCATTTTCCGATAATTGAATCATAATGATAAATATTAATAATAATATTTAAATTAAATAAAATAAAAAAAAATAATGATGGATTCTATTCTACCACCAATACCAATTTCACTCTACGACTTTTTCGGATCAATTTGGATAATACCTGGAACAATTGGATCAATTATTGGAGATCCTCTCGTTTGTTATTTGGCCTATATTCTCTCACCTAAGGTTAAAAATCAAGATGCCTCTGGTCCTGTTCGTATCCGATGGCCAATTGTTACATTCATGTTACAAATTATTTTCGGTTTGATTAGGACTGGATTATTCTTTCTTTTAGTTTTTTGGACAAGGTACTATTGTTTGGAACATAATGTACGTGGAGTTTTCAATGGATTCATTCCGGAGGATGATGATGCAGATGAGGATGAAATTAATAAGAGAATGTATGAAAATAGTGCCAATGCTGCTTTTGGATTTATCAAGATGCACTTTTTCATTATGAATTTTGCCAGCTCTTATATTGGTCATGTAATTTCATCAGCAAAGACTGGTTATGTTGCCAATCCAATGGCTGATCAAATGGCCGATCAACCTAATAATGCCATTCCACCAGAAATGATGAAACTCGATCTGAATTTAATTTGTCATGCAGCCTCAGTTGTCATTTATGTTTATATTGTATTGATATTTGTTTGGTCTGTTATTGGATTATCAACTGCATTAATGGTTGCTGTTGTTCATATTGCATTAATTTTAGTAATTTATAGAAATGTTGTCAAGATGATTATTAATACTGTTAAAAAACTCTTTTCTAATAAGACTGATTAAATTATTCCAGAATTCTCTCTTTAATTTTCACTATCTTAATTATTATTATTTAAATAAATTATTAAATTCTAATTCTTTGAATAAAACATTGTAATTTAGGAATTACTTGATCTGAATACATAGATTTCGTCTCTATCATTCCACCAACATTCGGATAGAATTGAAAATCATGTTGCATTTAAATCTTCGTTCATGTTCTTTTAAACTTTGGTCAAATCATCAATTTGAATAATAATTACTACCAGATCAAATCGATGAATTATCAGCCTTCTTTCCATAGAAACGTGAAGATGGGTGTAATTGGCTTCCAAATCATGAAAACAATTTTTAATTAATTTTCAAGCAGAACAATAAAAAAAATTTAGAAGAGCAAACACTTCTTCTCTCACCCAAACGACAAACTTTGGTTGTTCGTCTTTTTTGCTTCTGTGACCGGAAAGTCATATCCGTTTGTCTCTAGGTTCATCAATATTGTTTGATATAACATTATCAGAATCATATAGAGGTTCTGAAGTTTTGTGAGTTTTAGAGTGTAGTCAAGAGAACCAGAGATTTTATTTAAAGAACGAAAAAGATCAAGATTGTTTGATACACACACAACATGAATAATTACGAAGATTTTGAAGGATCTGAAGGAGAGGGATTCCTTCAACATAGTACTGATGATGAATTTTTCGATATGGATATGGTTCAAACATCGGAAGAAGATACTGTACAGTCAAATGAAAATACCACCAACACTGAGAATACTAAACCAACATCAACAACAACACCCACTAGGCTCAATCCAAAGTCTTCCTTCTATTCACCTCTTTCCTCTGCCTCTTCATTTCATTTTAGTGGAGGATTAGAGGATGATACTGATGAAAAGGCTTCTCCTCATCCACACGATTCATCTTCTTTCACTGACATTCCACAACAACAACAACCTAAACATCATCATCATGATTCACCAATTTATGGTCAAGAGGAAGAGGAGGAAGAAGCAGAAAATTATGACAATAGTTTCCATCATTTTGATAACTGGAACAAAATACCAGCATCAGCAACAACTAACTACAAAAAACCAACGTTTCCTTCTCTCCCAAAGAACCATTTCAAGAAGGAAACTTCTGGTTATACAATAGATAGTGATACGAGTAGTGATGACGAGGAAATTAAACAACGTTGTTCTTTCAATAACAACCAAACAACATCAAAAAGACCACCCAGGCCAAATCACAGAAGAACAAATTCCGCTGATTTTGCCTTTTCTGAATCAGTACCAACAGTGTCATCATCGAGGTTAAATATTAGTATTAGTGGTAACCCTTCTCCGAATACCTCAAACCTCCATCATCACCATAGAAACTCTAGAAGTGGAGACAATTATAACCTTCAAAGTGTTGCCTCTCCTACAATTCATCAAATTCACTATTCCCAACCATACCACACTCCTTCATCTACAAATGTTCAAATTCTTTCTCAATCCCTTCCTTCCAATTCTTTCGTCATGCCAAATGAACAACACCCTCATTTTCATCAACAACCTCCAGTAGTAAATGGTCATCACAACCAGGACTCGAAAAATTCCAGAAGCTACTCTCTAAATACTAGAAGATCAGGCACATTTAATCAAATTTCCATAAGAACTTCCTCGCAAACATCAACACCAATCTCTGATACAACACAACCACCACAAAGGAAAAGAGGTCACAAACGTGTTTCCTCTGCAACAAATATTTATTTTGCATCACCTTTGAATAATCCTTGTGCCTCTGCAACTTCACCAACTTCAATGCATGTGCAAATCGTAACAGAGCAACTCTTTGATCCTTGCTCGCATTCAGAACCATCATCAGCTAGGAGAGGAAGTGGAACAACAACTAGTACGACAACCACAACACTAACAGTTGTTTCATCAACACCTTCATCAACAATCCCTAGACCACCTTCTCATGTCCATAACGAGGAAGGATTCACAATTGAGGAAGTGGAGGATGATGACGAAACATTGCCAAGTCTTGAATCAACTTCTGTAGCAAGTGGAGATGGTGATTATTCATCTAGCTCTAGTCACGAAAAACGTGATTATAGAACAAAGAAACCTCATTCTATTATTACAAATCAAGATCGCAATATTATGGCAGTTTTACAGCCTAGTACACCTCATTCAGAACATTCCATTTCACCTAAGGAGAGCATTCATCAAGTAAGAAGGATGTCTGCAACTTCTCCAAATATTCTTCCACTACAGAAAAATGGAACAAGAACCTCAATAGTTGTTCAAACCATTAAGGTTAAATGGAACGATCCAGAGAATGAAAAATCCCCTCCAAAAGAAAAGAAAAAAAAGGAAAAGAAGGAAAGGAGATTACGACATGGACGCTCAGTTGTTGTGAACAAGTCTCAGGTTTCAGATGCTATTGCCAAAAAAAGAAGAGAAAGAGCTAATAGTCACAAGAGGAGATTTTTTGATGTTTCGACTCAAACTGATGATGGAACATCTGAAAACAAGACACCTTTAGAAAGCGAATCACAAATTAGCGTAGAACGTACAGAAGTACCTGCTTCGCAAGTCACCGAAACCATTACACCAAAAGAGGTCAACTACAGCTCAGATGAAGAAATATCTTCTGAAGCTGATTCTGAACAATCAGACACATCCACAGAACCATCAAGTACCAATAGTGGAACTCATGATTTGGATGAATATCATTTTGGTGATGCATTTTTAGATGGAGGAGAATATATTTTTGAAATTGATGGAGGAATAGACGAGTTGAATCATGCTCTGCAGAATAATGAAGAAATTCAAATAGAAATCCCAATGACATTCATAGTTACAAAGTCAAATGTTGCTTCATCCAGTGCTACACCACTCACAGCTAGGCAATCGACAATTATTCAAATTCCAAATATTACTATGGATACATTCCATCCTGGAGAATACTTTAGCGATTATACTCATGCAGATAATCAGGATGATAACATGGAATCGATTGAAAATTTGCTAGAGGCAAACACTACTTTGGATGACCTTAAGAGAAAGATCATTTCTCAAAAGTATACTAGCTCACATCAACCTGTAGATGATGATGATCTTCCTGATGTGAATGCTATTGTTTTGAAATACAGAGATGCTGAAGGAGACTTGATTACAATCAGATCTACTGAAGAGTTGAAAATTGCCTATATGGAATACCTGAATGCAAAAAAGAGAGAAAAAGAAACTGTCAAGATAGAAGAACTAGATGATAATGACCAACCTGTTTTTGAACTGGAAGCTCACGTAAATCCAGGCGTCAGGTATACAGAGGATTATTCCAATGATTCTGATGGAAGCGTATTTTCTATTGGTACTCCAATGATAGAACATGATCCTTTTATTATCATTGCTTCAGATTTTGCAAACTCACAAATGGACAGAACTAATATCTATGTTGATAATATGCAACAGCAAGTTGTTATTGTACAACAACAAGTTAGTCATTCTCCATCCCATTCCATCTTGCAAACCACATACATGAGCCCAACAATTTCACATGGACATCACCATCATCACCACCTGTATGGCAATCATTCCCATCAAAACTTCCAACACTTTGCTCATAGTCCTCATGCCCACTCAGCTTATGGATATCAAACTCCAACTTCCTACTCATCCAAGAAAAGTCTACATAAGAGTTTTTCTGAAGATGACATGTTTAAACCACAGTTTGAGAATAGCAAAAAGACACCACCTTCAGAAAGATATGACCATGACGATTTTGAAGAAACACCTGTCCAACCACCTAGGAAATCAAGTGTAACTAACTCTGAGCTAAGCAAAACCCTATCAGCTGACGAAACACCTACATCATCATCTTTTTCTTCCATGTCAATGGAAGAGCAACAAAAAGCTCTTTGGTATCGTGGAGTTTACCATTTCAGTTCACTTTATTGTCCATCATTTAAAGAACAACAAAAACTATTTGATACCATTCAAATTGGTAAACAGCTTGGTGCTGGTAGCTTTTCAGTTGTGTACAGTGCTATGCACATTTTAACAGGACAATCATTTGCTATGAAAATTTGTTATCTGGATACACTTAAGAAAACATTCAACACAGAGGTGCCAGAGGTCATCTTTTCCAAGATTATCAATGAAATTAAGATTTTGGAAGATATTGGAGATCATGCTAACATTGTAAAATTTATTGCAAGTGATTTATTCAAATACGTTCTGTTCAAGGATGATAAATCCTGTGCAGCAATTTATAGACCTGATATTATTTGTATGGTAATGGAATTAGTACAAGGAGAAACCTTGGATGTAGTTATCAGAAAGAATGCTATGGGTCGTTTGCATGAAAATATTGTGAGAATTTATGCCAAACAAATATTTGAGGCATTGACATACTTGCATGATAAGAATATAGTTCACGGCGATATCTCACCTTACAATATCATGCTTAACCAATGGGGTGTTATCAAAATGATCGATTTTGGTTTATCTAAAAAGATGAACGCAGATGCTGCATCAGATAAGCAAACAAAGCAAATCAACGGTACTCCAATGTATATTGCACCTGAAGTCATGGAATCTTTGAATCAAGGCAAACCATCTGATATTTTCTCTGCAGGTTGTGTTATTTTGGAAGCACTTACAGGAAGATGTCCGTATCCAGCATTCCAACCTCTCAGAGAACCAATTCATGTTTTCGTTGAAATTCTCAAAGCTAGAAAGTCTCCAGCAATAACTGACGAAGAGATGGAAAATTTCTTCGTTTCAGAGACAGCCAGAGACTTTTTGGTTAAATGTCTAGAGTGGGATCCAGAAAAGAGAAGTACTGCGAAATCCCTTCTCGACCATCCTTTCCTTAAACCATTAACAGAGGAGGAAGTATTAAAGTCCCTCATGGAAAGCAAATTCAAGAGTAAGGAACAGAAGAACATTCAAAGAGGAAATATTACTGAACATGTATCGAATGAATCTGTAGCTGGTTCTGAATCTTTAGAAGACTCTGATGAAGGCGTTGAAGACGACAGTGACTTTTATGATGATGACGAAGACGAAGAAGAAGAACACTCAGACAGTTGTGAAGAGCAATCTACAGGTGCTTAGTATTAATAAATTTCACTTTCAACGATTCTTTATTGGGTTTTCTTTGTGCATACCTTTCATCAATAGAAAAACAGTGCACAGGTCTATAATTAATGATAATTGTCTAGGTATTTTTTGAGGTGGAGAATGATGAGAAGAAATGGAAGTTTTTTATCAGTTGGATTTTTCAGTGATTGAAGTTGCTCATTACACCTCTGCGAATTCATTAATAAGTGAACTTTGGAGAATCTTGATTTTGATGGAATAATAAATTAATTTACTGTCTTAGAGAGATTTTTGAAATTCTCTCAGATTTGGTATTGACATTGGTTTTAGAACACATTGTAAAGTCAACCATATTTTGAGGAATGTTAATGGTTGGTCTGAGTTTATCGAGTGGAATTTGTTCTCCAACGTATGGTCCAACTCCAAATACTCTTGTCCATTCAGTGTCCACGATTTGATAGAAACGATCATACAGTCCATTACTAGCCAAATAAGTAGAAGTGAATTTTGA